AAGCAAAATCACTCTCAGGCATATTGATGTTATCACATAGTCAGAGGATCTAATTTTATGAGTCTTTTTTTTTTTTTTTTTTTTGATACCAGGGATCAAACTCAGGTCTTTGTGCTTGTGAGGCAGGTGGTGGAACCACTGAGCTAAATCTCCAGCCCCAGGGGATCTATTTTTGAATGGAACTATGTGGAACACATTGACCGAAGACTAATATTTAAAAATCCCTGCATTCAGTAAATTTGCAGTGGTTCAAAACCAAATGTTTTAAAAATACATCAATGTTTTTTAAAAACAGTGCTTAATCATTTAATAGCTTCAGAATCTGTAAGCAATTTGGAATTTGCCAAAGTGGTTTGTACCCTCTCTTATCATTTTAAACATATATCCAATATTTACAATTCATAAAACACATAGACAGTAACCATATATACCAACAATATCTTCCACCTTCTACTTTTTTAGAGTACATTAACTTTCCTCAGAGCAGGATAACTATTGTAGTATAACCACAAGGAGGACACAATGTAAAAAAATTATCTACTATGTAATATTTGTCAGATTCTATATCTGATCAATATGGCATACCATTCTTATTAAAGAGTATACTGGCTAGGTTCCTCAGAGGCTAAGGCAACAGGACTATAAGTTCAACAGCACCTTGGACAATTAACAAGATCCTAACTGAAAACAAAATTTTTAAAAACAGGGTTGGAAGTGTGTGCCTGGGTTAAAGTTCAATGGCAGAACACTTGCGTTGGCTTCAGTCCCCTATTGCAAAACAACAAACAGGGCTAGGGATGCAGCTCAGAGATAGATCACTCTCCTAGCAGGCATGAGGCCCTGGGTTCAATCCATGGCATGGGGTAGAACAGAAGAGGGCAACAAAAAAACCCCAGTACATTATTTATTTTCTTGCCACTTCTTCATAAAATATAGAAGTTTTTTTAAGACTCTAACACTGAGGGGGCCAGGGATTTAGCTCAGTGGCCACCATGCCTGCCTCACAAGCGCAAGGTCATGAGTTTGATCCCTGGTAGGCCCCCACCCCCCACAAAAGACTAACACTGAGGAAGAAATCTGTCAAATATTTCAACTGTTACAAACTAAAAATTAGAATTTAACAAAGTACCTGAGACAATTAACTTGCAAGAAAAAGACTGATGCTGCCTCACAGTTTTGGAGGTTCTGGTACAAGATCAAATGGACTCATTGCTCTGGACCTGTGGTGGGCAAGCCAGCAACGGCAAGGAGTACATGGCAGAGCTAACTGCTTACCTCATGGCCAGGAAGCAAAAGAAAAAGAGGAAGGAGCTGAAGTCCCACAATCCACTTTGAGAGCAATCCCTCAATGACCTAAAGATCTTCAACTGCAGCCTACCGCCAAAGGTTCCACCACTTCCCAAGGGAAGCATCCCAAGGACTAAGCCCTTAATCTGTAGACTTTTAGGGGACAGTTAGTTATCCACAACCACAGCAACAGATATGTATAAAATTCTAAAGTGACAGTTACGTATAATATGAAAAAAATTAGCAGTTTAAATAATGAAGTAATAGCAAAATAAGTAAGATATAACTCAGTATGTACAATGACCACAATATAGCAACCTACATGCACTTCTTTTAACACTCAGGAAGTGGGAACTGGGAGTGTAGTTCAGTAATAGAATGCTTGCCTAGTATATGCAAGACCTTGGGTTCCATCCCTAGCAGGGAAAAACAAAAAAAGTCATTTTTTTGTAGAGCAGTGACTTAGCTTGCTTTTCCTAACTTTACAGAATATAATCCAAAAATTTTAAAATTACAGTATGTGTTTCAGGGTTTTGGGTACAAAATTTGATATTTTCATATATTATGAGTCTTTAGAAACTGAACTTCAAGAAAATGTTCTATGGATCCAGCTACAAACTGCGATTCTTTTAAATAGTGACTTTTGAACTATGTGCCAAGCACTTTTACCTAGAGATTTATAAAGATGTGTAAGATAGGGAATATGCATAACAAAGATCTTAAAACCAGTTAGTACAGAAAGTAATGATTTGAAGGATAAAGAATTTAACATTTTGCTTAAAGATGACAGAATGCTAATAGCCCTATATTAAATGTTTAATGAACACTGAAGTACATCTATCCTATTTAATTTTAATTTTATTTTATTTTTGGTATCGAGGATCAAACTCAGGACCTTGCACTTGCCAGGCAGGCAGCGGCACCACTGAGCTAAATCCCCAGCCCCTATCCTATTTAAATTATTGCAAACTATTGTATTTGTTTCATTTCTAGATCACAAAATATTTTTTATAGTAAGTAGAAGTAACTCTTTAATAATTTAAACTTGAAGCTGTTCTTTTTTAGTAAATCTAAATACTGGAATAACAGAGTTAAAATCAAAAGGAAGAAATTGCCACCCTTTAATAGAAGTTGGGAAACTGTTTTTTTCCAGTTCTAAAAAAGTACATGTAGCTTATCGCAGTTATCAAGGAACACTATCTTTATTTATTTTATTTATTTTTTTGGTACCAGGGATTGAACTCGGGTCCTTGCGCTTTATCTTTACTTTTTGTATGTATAAACTTTCCTTTTAAAAAAAAATTAAATGAAAAAGAAAATACTTTCATACTTCAGAAAACTCTGGAATAAACACTCAAAAATAATAAAAGGAGTAACTTGTTTGTGCTGAGGGGGTAATTTTCAGTTTACTTTTCACTTTATCAAATTGTTTATAATTTACTCCTTGCGGGCTGGAGATTTAGCTCAGTGGTTCCAGCACCTGCCATGCAAGCGCAAGGTCCCAAGTTCGATCCCCAGTACCAAAAAAAAAAAAGAACATAATTTACTCCTTCAATAAAATTAGGCTCTATCTCCAAATTTTTGCCTATGCTGTTCTCTTTATTCAGAAAATCCCTTCCTCCTCCCCATCTTTACTCCCTAGCTATTTAAATTCACCCAATTGTAAATGTGGTCTGACAGTCAATCACAGACACTCACACACTTCTGGTTCAAGTTCCCAGTTAATATGGTATTCTGCATTAAAATTCTAGATTAGAAATTCTCAGTGGGGTAAGGTGGTAAAATGCCTGTAATCCTAGCACTTGGGAGGTTGAGGCAGGAGGATCATGACCTGGAGGCCAGCCTGGGCTACAGAGCCTTAGTTTCTTTAAATAAACAAAAAACAAAATAAAAATAAAAAATAGCTCTTAAAACTAGGGTTTATATATGATTCATTTTTATTCTTTTTTTCTTTTTTTGGTACTGGGGATTGAACTCAGGACCTTGTACTTGTGAGGCAGGCACCAGAACCACTGAGCTAAATCCCCGGCCCTATGTGTTTCTTATTTACAAGGTCTGGCACATTTTAAGTGCCCAACATATATTTCTTGAACAAGTGTCTCCAAATACACTGGGATGTGCAAGATTCCTTTTGGGGTTCTTATTTCAGAATCCATTAATTAATGATGAAGATATTATAATAAAGTTCTGCCAGGAACTAAATTTATCATGATAAAATTCCAATGCATGTTGTAATGGTACCCCAGTGTAATGTTAAAGCTATACAGCATTTGTAGTATAAACCATGGGTGTGATCAACAGGTGATCAGGAAACAACTGTAAAATGAAGCATTTCCCATACACAGGAAAAGTATACTAAACATTAAAGTGTCAGAATTAAAGCATATTGAAACTTAGTATCAAACCTTGAGCTTAACTTTAATAGAAAGTTCCTATAAAGGAACAAAGTACATTTTAACACAAATAATACTTACATATTCATTCTAACCACAATTAATCCTCTGTGCACTCTACTTCTAAACCTTTTTAGTTCTCATTTCATTGTACTGTAATTATGTTTCCATAGCTGTCTCTACTAGACTGCAAGATCTTTGAAAGTAAACTGCCACTCACTTTTGCAACTCAGTGCTTAGCAGCAGATTCCCAAAGGTTTGACAAATGACATTTTTATATCTATGAATAATCTTGGAGAGAATTTTACAAATAGAAAATTAAGTTTTGAGATTATGTGACTTACCTGAGATCACACAGCAAGTATGCAAGTAAAATTAGCATTTGAATCCTGTCTTCAGTCAATAAATTCTACTTTTCACCACCCCTTTACGTTAAGTCCCTGACTTATGAACATTTGAGTTGTAAACTTTCACAGTTATGAATGGACAAACAGATCTCTCATTAGGAACTTTCAAAGATGTGAACAAATAGTGAAAGTGGCTAACATGTCTGCTGGACATTGTCAGTTGTGCTGCAGTGTGCTTACTGTACAGTGCAATAGTGTATAGTAGTACAGTACATTTGGGGACACAATGTATTTTTGTGTGTGTTTAGTTTGTTTTACATTGTATATTTGTGTCAAAGGTGTAGTAAGATTCACTTAGGGCCGGGGATTTAGCTCAGTGGTTTTGCCACCTGCTGTGCAAACGCACGGACCCGAGTTCAATCCCCGGTACCAAAAAAAAAAAGATTCACTTTGTTGCACTTACAAATGAATCCGACTTAAGAATGTCCTCCCAGATTGGAATCAGTTTGTAATTTGGGGACTTATTGTACATGTTACCTCAAATAACTACAAGTTGTAAGAACTATGTCCTGTAATAGGTATGCACAGTTAGAAAGTAAAAATTCATCCATAAAAATTAATCACAAAAAGTTACAATAGTAAAAGTCCCTTTAAAATCAAATATTTATCTGGGTACAGTGGTACACATCTGCAATTACACTATTTGTAAGGATGGAAGATTAAGGGTTTGATGCCAGCCTGGGCAACTTTGAGACCCTATCTCAAAATTTAAAAAGAAAAGGAGTGGAAATGTAGCTTAACGGTGCCATCCCCAAAGTTCAATTTCCAGTAGCACCACAAAAAAATTTTTAAAAGGAAGGGGATATTTGAACCTAAAGATATTCCTTCCTTCTATAAATACATAAAAAATGTCAAAGTTAGTTATTGCTATTGTAGTCTAAACAAAACACTGCTTGCTTTAAGAAGTGTTTACCTTGTACTTCTTTATCATGATATTCTTTCAGTTTTGTCCAAAGTTCCTTAAAATCATTAGATATATCTGCAGAACTAGGGCTTCCACAACCACTTCCAGAGACGTTCATCTTGTTTAATACGCTCCAAACTTCTATTTGCTTAATGTTTTCAGAACTTTTCTGTTACATTATATAAATGTGAAGTTGTTTTTGGATGGCTGAAATACCTGAAATGACAGATTGCAATACAAATAAATTTGCAGTTATTTTTATGTAATTTAACGTGAGGCTGAAACATAGCCCAGCTGTTTCCAAGTTTGATTTACCCACAATCAATCATTTTGAGAATTTGGGAGGGGTTGGGGGAGTGAAGAAAGAGGAAAACAATGGTGAGAAAAGTTCTGATTTCAGTTATTTGGACATAAGGCAAAATTTTCTCTTATTCCATCTACAAAGAACTGTCTAAAATATGTTAAACTGACAGCAGTCTTATATTGAAAAGTCTGTAGTCATTCACAATCAATATTGATTTATCATCAAGAGGATGGGGCAATGAGGAGAGGGGGAGGGGAAATACACAAAAAGAATACATGTAATGTACATGTACCAACTCCCCATGATGAATGTAATCATCATGTACAAATAAAAAAGAATTCACTGCTTTTTTAGCTTTGAAGTAGAGTACAACACTACATTAAATCAGAAACTGAAAAACATTCTGAAATATTCCTTACTTAACAAGTATGCACACTCATCTACATATGTACAGACATTACAGAAGCGCACGACAGATGATTAACATATTACCACATGATGACCTGTGTATCTTTCTGAGAACAGAAAGCAAAAAGATACAAGACACAGCAAAGATCTATCAATACAAAAACATTTTAAAAATAGAAATACAAGTAAGTGATTCAAGTAAAGCTACTTTGTATCTCTTTCAGAATGAAGGTGAATAATTGTACTTATTACTTATATAATCCCTAAAAAGAAGCAACAAGCTATTAAGAAATTCAAGTGGCATGCCTATAATCCTAGAACTCTGGGAGGCTAAGACAGATCCTGTCTGAAAATAAAAAAAGGGCTTAGGATGTAGCCCATTGTGAAGGTGCTATATTCAATCTCCAGGACCACCCCCCAAAAGTAAATGGACCAATGTTTTAATATGTGTTCTTAAACTGAAACCATTAACTACCATTTAAAAAAAGTAAAATGACTAGCAAGTTTACTAAACTCACATCTAGCTCTTTAGCCAGTTCCATACCATTACTAACAAGTACCCAAACTGACTTGTGTCTCCTACTAACCATTTATTGAGGTATATGAAGGATCTAAAATAATAAAATTTCTAAAAGGAGCAACAGTACGTGTAAAATCACTTGGGAATCTGTAAGCTACTACAAAAATAAATATATATTTTATTACGTTTTTCAAAAACTGCATTTAAGACTTAAAAATAATCAGCAAAAACTGAACATCTACTGGACTGCAGATACTAGGGAGTTATCGTTAATTCTGGGTGGCACCTTTTCTTGTTAAGCCTTATGTAGGGCTGGGGATGTAGCTGGGTGGTAAGATGCTTGCCCAGCACACACCCAGGTCCTGGGCTCAAGCCTCAGCAACACCCCCTCCCTATGCACGCGCACGCGCAGAAGAAAAGGTCTTATGTGTTACAGGATCTATACCGAAGTATTTACTGGTAAACCAATATATCCTCTAGGATTGGCCTGAAAACACTCTAGCTGATACAAAAACAACTGGATGCCGCGGAGGGAGATGAAATGAGAACTGATGAACTCTTAACAATTGTTGAGCTGAATGCGAGATGGGTATATGACAGGGTTCATAATTGTAAGGTCTCGTGTACAATGAATATCCCATATTAACCAGTAAAAGGGTAAGTAGGCGTACTACATTAATTCAGTTTCATTTCAAAAGAAACCTGTATTCTTTTTGTCTTTTTGGTACCGGGGATCGAACTCGGGACCTTGCGTTTTCGAGGCAGGCAGCAGAACCACTGAGCTAAATCCCTGGCCCCAGAAACCTGTATTCTTTTTAAGCATAAAAGATAAATTAATGACCCCACATCACTGTTAAATCATTTGAGTGTATAAGAGCATAAGAATTATGCTATTTTATATTACTTTACTCCTCAGAACTTTATAAAACAGCTACAATTATTAATTCAATCTTATTATTTTGAGTTGAGGAAACAGGTGTCACAGATTAAGTGACCAAGGTCACAGCCAGGATTTAAGTCGTGGGTCCAAAAAATTTTTCTCTGTAGCAAAAAGAGTAAGCTATTAAGTAAATAAGTTTTACATAGTAACTATTTCCGTGAAAAATTTAGAATGGCACAGCATATTGGTTTAAAACTAAGTAGAGTCCTCTAAGAAACTTCAAATAATTAAAATAAAGTGCTTTTAAAAAACACGTTATCAGTATCAAAACTTGGAAATGCTGGTTCACAAAACCCTTTCCACGTACCCTGCAGGCAGGCCCAGCATTCTGGTCACTGCTGACAAGGGACCGTTACTCACAGCCGACAGCGAGCCTTCATCCCTCAGCCTGCACTTCCTGCTTCTCCGCTGCACCTCGGCCTGCAAGGCTGAGGTGACCCACTGCTGCGCATCCCTCCGCCACAAAGAAGGACGCGAGGTCACCCCGCACTATCGCGGAGGCAAGGGGAACTGCCCTTTCGCGAGCAGCGACCTCACTACGACCCTGTCTTTCAAGCTGCTAAGACGACCAGAGCGGGAAACGCACAGTACCGGGTGGGCGCATGCGCGAGGAGGCGCGTCCCCAGCCCGCGCGGGAGACCCAGAGGTAGGAACGCCAGCGCGGTGCGCTTCCGCTGGGGGTCTCCCATCCCCACAACCCCGAGCCGTACCCCTCAGCTGAGCGCGAAGCTCCACACCGGAAGTACCCGCTAGGTCCCGCGCTCCGGGCTCGGGAAAGGAGATCCTCTCACAGCTTCCAGGACTGCCTGAAATTCTAGAGCCCCAGCAGGGAAGCGCACACCCGCCGGGGCTGTGAAGGCATGGCAGCTCGCCGTTCTTCTCTTTTGCCCCTTTCCCTCAGCCAAACCTCTCCCGGGGCACCCTGCGCTTTCCGCGGGTGGAGGAAGGGCCGGAGGGCGGCCGGCCGGCGTGGAAGCCCTCGACGCCACGTGACGTCACGTCGGCGCTCCCCGAGCCACGCCCCTTCCGCGGAACCTGAGGGCGCGGAGGATGGAGCTGGGAGACTGGTCTGAGGGGCGCGACCTTGGGAACGTCGCCAGCTGCACGGAGAGCCTGGCGACCACCGCTGCGATTTTGAGGTGTCCTGAAGAAAACTAAAGCTGTTCTGCCCGAGAAGCCTCAAGTCCTTGGTGTTACGTCGGCGTTCACCGTGTCTGCATGAAGCACCCTTCAGGGCAACCGCGTGTGTGAGTGACCTATAAGTACCAAACGGAGTTAAGCAACAACAAGGCGGGCGTGGTAACGCACGCCTGTAAGCACTCAAGAGGCTGAGGTGGAAGGAAAGCGAGTATGAAGCCAGTATAGGCAATTTAGGGAGATTCTGTCAGGAGTTTTAAAAGGATGAGGATGTAGCTCAGTGGTAAAGCGCCCCTGGGTTGTGGCACGGGTCAATGCTTCCTCAAGAAATCAAGGTAAATAGGAAAATGTACCATCAATAGGAATTATCAAACAGTTGCAGGAAAGTTCGACTTAAAAAAAATTGCCCTGACAGCATGTTACCACAAGAAATAATGCTTGTTTCTGATTCCTTCTCATTTCCGGTTTGCCAGTACTTCCCTATTTAACTTGAGCAAAATGTTGAAATACAGTGTTAAAGCCGATCCTGTAAGATCACATCGCTAAACTGTAGATAATAGCTATGAGGCCAAAAGTTACATCAGACTAATCTGTGTCCATTCCCACACCAGCTCATATTTAATGTTCCATTTTTTTGTTTAAATTTTTTTGAGGCAGTGTCTTGCTATGTAGTTGAGGCTGGCCTCGAACTTGCACTGATCCTCCTGCCACAGAACAGTTTGTCAGTTACCCCTATATTAACAGAGTACTTGTGATCCAAAGAAAAACTCAGTAGAATGACATAACCTGTTCCTATGGCCTCTGCCAATGGCTGACCATCTAATCCATTTATTCAAATCAGAATCCAAAGAAACATCCTGGACACTTTCTTCTCCCTTAGCCCCTATATCCAATCCATCACCAAGCCCTATCAGTTTTACTTACCAAACATTCAAATCCATCCCCTTTCTCACCATCTGCATAATCCAAGATGGCATTGTCTTTACCTGATCTACTGCTAGTCTGTTTTCCATTTTTACTCAACCAACCAGCTGACCTACCTAAACCTCTCTCTAATTTGGCATTCAGGGAAATTTTTGAGCATCAATCCCCAAACTGTATATATATTTAATTTCAAATTGTATATGTGTATTGCTGTATATTTTAGTAAGATACGGGATCTGGAGCCGCACCTCCTGGATTTCACCCCTGCTCTAATACTTCTGAGTGACCTTGGACTGTTTATTTAATCTGATTCATTTTTCCTATCTGTAAAATGAGAATAGTAATACCAGTACTAATCTCACAGTATGAAGATTAAGTGAAATAATATATGTAAAGCCCATAATACAGTATTCAGATTATATAGTATATGCTTAATAAAATCTAGCTGTTATTAGTATTTCCAAGAAAATAGACTGAAGACATTTTTAAGATACTTTTTAAAGAATGAGAACAAATGGAACACAATAGTGTGCTTACTTTGAGGCTACTGCCTACAAATACTGTGATCTTCAAAAGTACATCTGACAGTATTACTGTGCTGCTTAAATCCTTCATTGACTAGCTGTCACTCTGAAGCAAACTCCTTTGGCTCTGCTACTTCCAGCTTCATTTTCATTTTCTCGTCTCAGGCCTCACTGGCCTTCAATATCTCTCAAGATGCCTGATATTGACTCTGCCTGGAAATCTCCACAAAACTTACTTCTACCCTTTGCTTATCTTTTTACTGATAATCTTTTTACTTTGTTTCAATAGACTTTTCTATTTTCATTGCACCAGGTCCCTTCCCATTTTATACTTTTTTTTTTTTACAGTTTTATTTTGTTGTCTTTCCTCTAAACTGTTAAGTTTCTTTGGTCAACAACCATGTTGTATATACCTCTATCTCTAAAACTTAACCCATTGCTTGCAACAGAATCAGTATTCTTGATGAGTGAATTGGGCATCCTTGATGGATTTCTATTTTTTTATGCAAGTGGACACCTGTGAGTACATTCAAAAATCTTAGATTTACTTTTATGAGATTTTATAATAGACATTTTAACTGTGGAAGTGGTGGACATACTCATGGATAAAAATTTGCTCATAATAAGGAGCTTTAAGACCTACCATGATGGAATAAGTTATGAAGTCTCCACATTACCTACTGAGAAAACATCTTTATCAATGAAGCAGTTACTTTGAACTCTTCATTTGATTAGGATTTTCATATTTTATGACTTAAAACAGTATTTCCCAGACTTTTTCATTTTAATGTACTTAGAAAAATGAGTAGTATCCTCAATTTAGTATTCTTTGACTTTAGAATGTTGTGAAAGTGATAGGCATTCATTAGGAGCTGTACTTCAATTTTTTGGTAACAGGGCTCCAACTCGGGATCTTGCGCTTGCGAGGCAGGCGCCGGAACCACTGAGCTAAATCCCCAGCCCTGTACTTCAAATTTTGATCTTTTCCTGCATTAAGAATATGCAATGTAATCCTCTCGATACTGGGTGTTGGCCCTGAGCATGAGGGGAAGCAACCAACACTGTAGGGATGCTGTGTGGCTAAACTAGGATGCTAGGATGTTTGGTAGGGGAATTTTTTTTTTTTTTTTTTTGGTGTTACTGGGGACCTAACCCAACACCTTCACACTGAACTCTCAACTCTTTTTTTTTTTTGAGACACGTTCTCACTAACTCACAGAGTTTTGTCTAGGCTGGGCTCAGATTTGCCATCCTCCCTGCCTTAGCCTCCAAGAAGGGTGGGATTACCACAGTGCCATGTGTACGTACCACAGTGCCGGGGTTTAAATGCATTTTTATTGAGACGTAAGCTCAACATAAGTCAAGGAGCATCTGTACTTGTGTTACATATTGTGATGAAGGAATAAAGCTGCCTCCATCCAGAGATAACAGAAGTTGGGACATTTGCCACCCCAGGGCCAGTGCTACCATCTTCAGGCCTGGGAGTTTAATGTCTCAGTATTCCCAAAACCGAGTAGAGGCCCTGTTTGGATACCTGATTTAAAAATTGTATGGTGAAATGGTTAAAATAATAAACTCTATATTTTGTATATTTAATCACAGTATTTTTTAAAAAATTGTATAGTAGCAGCAAAACTCCAGGAGTCTCAAAATTAGAATTTTGTAACTCATAGATGCTAACATCATCTAACTGAAGTCATGTTACAAATGAAACTGTTGAATCTAGAGTCTGTGTTTCACTCCTACCACTTAGTAGCTGAGTGTTGTGAAGAGAAAAATCACGTACTGTGTCAGGTTAGGCTGATAAAACTAAAATTACTTTGGTGTTGGTTCCAGGGCTTTAGTTAATGCTGAAAAAAAGCCTTTGCTCAGCTCCTCTTTCCTTTGGTATCTTACAGATCTTTACTATTTTCTCAAGCCTTTCGGTATAGTATTTTCACTTTCAACCAAAAACCTAGTCTAGATTAAACCCAACAATTAATTAGCTGATGATATCCTCCTAAACTTCCTTTTTCCTTTCTCAACCCCATGAATTAGGCAATACTACATAACAGATAAAACTACAACCTGAGCCCAGTGTGGTGGCACACTCCTATAATTCCAGCACTTGGGAGCCTGAGGCAAGAGGATCTCCACTACATAGTGAGTTTAAAGCCAGCCTGAACTAAATAGCAAGATCCTGTCTCAAAAAACCAAAAACAAACCACCTGAATCCAATTGCTGCTCACCACCTCCTTTGCATCCACCTTGGTCTAAGCCACCAGCAACCTCTTCTACAGATAGAGCCCATACAGTCTCTGTTTCTTTAACATTTTAATCAGTTATCTTTTCCCCCCCGACTCTTTCCCCACTACATTATAGGCTTCAGGGGCAGTTAAAGTGGTCCTTTAAAATTTGCCAGAAACATTCCAGAGTCTTTCCTTCACCTTAGAATAGCAGCACAATTCATAACTAAATCTTGGAAGCAGCCCATATGTCCATCAACAGATGAATGAATAAAGAAAATGTGGTATTTATGCACAATGGAATACCACAATGCTATAAGGAAGGATAAATTTGAGTCATTTGTAGGAAAATGGATGTGCCTTGAGACCATAATGTTAAGTGAAATAAATCAGACACTCAATCTTAAATATCGCATGGTTTCACTTATGTGAGAAACCCAAAGTGTAAATAATTTAAATAGCAAAATAAAAAATAGACAATAGGATATGGGGAGATAGATCTTTTGTAAATGGGAAAGGGACCAAGACATGATGGGAGAGGAAGAAAGGGGAGAAGGGAAGTAAAAATAATCAATATGTATTCTGTACACATACCAGCTTCCCACATGAATGTAATCATCATGTCCTGCAATCATGTACTAATTCAAAAAAATTTAAAAAACCCATGGTGGTACATGTCTATAATCCCAACACTCTGGGAGGGTGAAGCAAGATGTTCCCCCCCCAGCAATTTAGCAAGACCCTACCTCAGAATTTTAAAAAAGTGTGAGAATATAGTTCAGTTTGAAGGGCCTGGGTTCAGTCCCCCTGGGAACCCCCCCGCCCCCAGCAGAGTCTACTCTGGACAAGACCATAGTCTACTGATGTTACTTTTTAAATATAATTTTGAATTGTACTTTCTACTCCCATTCTTATTGCCCTAGTTTGAGCCCTATTTGTTCCCTAATTGGCAGCCTTCCTTCTTCTAGTTTTGTTCACTTCTGCTGAGTCTCCTCACAGCTGCTGAGATCTAATCACTTTTTGCTTACCCCTTCAGTGACTGTTGCCTGAAGGTTAAAATTCTGTCCCTTTAAGACATCACAAAAGCCACTGT